TTTACACCATTTTTTCTCCTTTGGAATGGAAAAGTGTACCTTGCGTCTGTTCTACCACTGTAGTTTGAATGCAGGTAACCTGCATTCTAGGTTTCACAGATTCACAGATAGAGAAGAATTTTGCCCCAGGAAGGAACACACTTGGATTGTTCCGAATCAGATTTTATACTTAAGAGTTGATGCTGAATGGGTTAAGATTTCAGGGGTGTTATATGTCATGAATGCATTTTTACATGTGGAAGGACATGAATTTATTTGGGGGGGGGCGGTGTTTCAAAAGGTAACATGTTATAGATTTAATTGTATCTCCCCAAATATGTGTTGAATTCCTGGCTCTTGTGCTGTTATGCCATGAGTGTAATGCTGTTTGGATATTTCCTATTGAATTTTTCTTTGTTATGTTTATGAAGTCATGCAGTGCTTGATGGAGCCTAAACATAATCACTTCTGAATTATAAAAAGATAAAATCTGACACATACACACGCACACATACAGGTAAGACAGAGACCCTGTGAGGAACAAGCCAAGGAATGCCAAGGAACACTGGGGCTTCTTGACAGGAAAGAATTAAACCACCAAGACTTTGGTTTGGACTTTTAGCCTCTAGAACTGTAAGGTAATAAATATTTGTTTTTCAAAGCTACCCACTTCTGGTATTTGTGTTACAACAGAAAAATATTTATCAATTTATGAGAGAGTGATCTAGAAACCAGAATGCCAGTTGATTTATTAGATATAAAGCTATCAGTGAAATTGTTAATTGGACCAAAAACCAGTCTAAACATTCTCCTTTGGGGAATACTGCCTTCCATAATTCTGATTTCTTGGGCTCCTTCATTTTAAACTTCTCAGTTTACTTTACACTTTAGTGTACAAGTCATCATTTATAAAAAATAAAAATAACAAAACCAAGATGACACTGAAGTCATCTTGGTTAGAATTGTGGGTGTTTTGGAAACACTTATGAGTCTTTGTAAGTCTTTTGAGTTAACTCTAAAGGTAATCTATTTTGAATTTATAATTGAAGCTTAAGTTATTGTTAGCTGCTATTTGTTAAGTGTGCCCCTGTCTCATGGCATGAAATGCTGCTTAGACCTGCATCATCCCCATCATCTGTTGTGTATTAGACTCTTATGACTCACAGTGTTATCATTGGCTGAATTTCAGAAGAAATTACCAGGCCTTTTGTCCTAGCCCATATTAAACTGGAATCTCGGCTGAAACCTATTCAACATAATAGCAGTATGCAAGCCTCTACTGACATGTGGTGGCTGCACTAGAGGTACACTGCCCAGGAATTAAACCAGGGCTTTCCTGCATTTGAAGGCTGGGATTCTTCCACTGAACCACCAATGCCCCACTTAACCTTTCAGAGAGCCACCCAGTGTTTTCTCTTCTGTTTCTTTGCAGGCATCTCTTACTGTATCTTGCATGAACTATACTTGTCAGTTTAAATCCTTTTAGAATGTAAAGAAAAGGAAGAAAAGCATTTGTTAGAATAAGTCTTATCAATTACTCTTCATGGACTTATTTTAAAGGAGTATCTTATTAACCTGAGATGTTACATTTTTTAATTTTCTTATGGTCATGGAGATTCTTACTTACTAATTTTGAAAGTGGACATATTTTAATCCTCTGATTTTAGAAAGGATATGTGTTAACTGAAAAGAAAAAAGTAGGGAAGTATACTTGAACTTAACTGTTGTTAAAGCTTAGTTAGCATAGTCCTGGAGTCCTAGTGTGGCGTACTGAATTAATGCGCTAGATTGAAAAATCAGTTTGAACTGCAAGGTTGGTGGTTCAAGCTCACCAGTCACTCCTTGGAAACCCTCTAGAGGGTTGTTGTGGGTCAGAACCGACTCGATGGAATTTATCAACAACAGGTTTTTTTAGCCTGGAAATAATTTAGCCTTAGTAATAATGGTTTTAAGAAAGTGTTGGCTGTATGGATGTACATTTTGTTAAGTAATAGTGGAAAAACGAACTCAAGGGTGAAAACTTAGTATATGTGATCTATTAAAATAAAAATTTTTATTAGTAGTGTCTTATTGTATGTTCTCTTTGACTGTTTACTGATAATTATGTTCAAAAATCAGTAGTTTTTTTGTTTTTGTTTTTTTTTTTAATTAGGTTCTTATTTATGATAGATTTGGCCAAGATATAATCTCCCCTCTGCTGTCTGTGAAGGAGCTAAGAGACATGGGAATCACTCTGCATCTGTGAGTTTTAACACATTTTTAATAATGGCATTTTTATTAAGATACATTCTAAAATATTTCTCTGGCCACTCTAGAATCAAGCCCTTAAAGGACATTTATAGAGAAAAATAATGTTAGGTTCAATACTTTTGTACCGTAATACAGCATTCCCAGCTTCCCCAATCTTTTATTCCATTTTTTACTTCTAAAGTTAAAAATAAACCCAGGCTTTACAACTTCTGAATATAAATTTCCTCTCATGTCTTTTCCTACAGACTTGTTTTACCCTCTATGTGATGATGGAAAAGACTTGATAATCTTAAGGTCTCCTCCAGCTTTGAAAGTTTTTAAGTTTATCATTTATATAAAAAATGTAAGTGACTATGAAAATATTGCTGTTAAAGTTATCACTTTAGGAAACGATCTACCATCTCTTAACTATTGCATTTGATTATATTGCTTATGGTATGTCTGGTAAAATAAGATGAATTACATTGCTTTATTCATTTGTCTAGTGGAACATTTGGAGAGAGACTATATTCATAAATAGGTATTTTTGCATACTGCAAGAGCCCAATTTTGTGGTGTTACAACCTATTTGCATTCTATTCTATTTATGGTTATAACCTATTTTCGTCTTATGGATGTAATTACATATTTGTCTACTCAGCCAATATTTCTATGAAAAGTGGGATTTTAAAATGGATTCTTACATTGGTAATAGTGATTTTAGATTTCCAGTGTGTGAAGTGCCAGAAAGTGGTTTGATTAGCTTAGATTCTTTAATTTTATATTGTGTACTTGTGTGGTGCTGTAGGATAAGCACTCGACCACAAGATTGGTTTGAATTGCAAGGCATGTAACAAAAAAACTTGTTTAAAAGTAACATAATATTACATTAATTCAAAGGTTACTTCTGTATATTTCTAAAACTAGATTATATCTTGTAATTGATAGCATCATTTAATTAGCAACATTTTTCTTCTTTAGTGGTATATAAAATAATGTCTTAAAATTGATAGCACCTTAGATTTTATGAAATATGGTATTTGACAGATTTTTTTTTATATCAAACATATAGCAAGTGTTTTGTTAATAATATGTTGTATGAATACCTGCTTTCAGAAAGACCAGCGCAAGTTTGGTTCCTATGAGTTAGAGATTAAAGATAGCCAACTATTGAACTTCTTTGGCATGTTATGTTATACCACTCCATAGTCCTTGATATCCATCGCCACTCCTCCTGTTCCTCAAGTCGCAGAGTTCTTCAACATGCTGCACTATCTCACAAAACTTACAACTGTCAAAAGAAATGGCTCACTCAATTTTTGTTGTTGTTGTTAAGTGCTGTCAAGTTGTTTCTGACCCATAGCAACCTTGTATAGGGTTTCCAAGGAGCGGCTAGTGAGCTTGAACCACTGACCTTGTGGTTCAAACTAACCCTTTGGTATATTGCTACATTGCTACGGTTATATTCCCCTCCATACATCATCAACCAACCGAAGGGTATACATTACAAGCTTGCCCCCCAGTCGTCAGCACACTGCCCTTCTCCCTCTCTGTGTCTAAAGTCCCCAACTGTGCCATCTCTCCATGTCATCGTCTCTGTCTCCATCTCAGGCATCACTGCTTCTCTGGGTAGGGTCCTGCTCTCTGCTCTTCTCCCTTGATGATCCCAGGGACCTCCGCTCCTAGGCTGAAAAGTTAATCACTTCCCTCCTTGCTACAAAATGTCTACCTTTACATTTCCAACCCTCACAAGCAGTCCTAATAATAATTATTCACTATTGTATC